TGCCAAATGGTAAGTTTCTTTATCTTTAGGCCTTCTCTTCAAATCTGTTAAGGTTAATCATATTCGTTTTGTAAACCGCGCTTAAGTTAAGCGTCATCTGTTCATTATTTATGTCCGGTCATTGAAAGATATACAAAAGGTAAATTGTTATATAAAAGGTAAATGTATATACAAAAGGTAAATTGTTTACAAACTGAGTCTTTGTCTATTGTTTGATAAATGTATATTTTATTTCATCAATTGTTTATGATAGCAGATGTCTTTTGTGTAAGATCCAAGTCGGATGCAAGTTAATAAATGTTCTTGTTAATCTTATCTCGCCTTTTGATTTGTTGATGCTTACTAGAAATCATCACAAAATCCCACCTTTTCTTCGTTTCTTTCTTTTGTTTAACTGCGGATTGCACTGTACATTACCAAAGAGGATAGGTTTAGGTTCGTAGTACTAGCGAGCGCGTAGTTTCGAGCAATCGCGAGCGATGGCGAGCGGTTGGGGGCACTCGCGCCGGTAAGGCCGGAGAATTATTGCGTTGACAACATCATACGCAAACACAACCTTCTTCATCGACCCCCAGGACCTAGCCGAGGCGGAGACCAACGGCCTCACCCCCACAACATCAGGAATAGGCTAGGCGTCGCCAGGTAGCCAGAGGACGTCGCGGGAGACGCGATTGTTTTCTAACCGATTATTGATTTCAGTACAAGAATATAATAAGTGCCCACGTATCAGACACTCTTCTAATACGTGAATTGTAGATAGCAGCCGTCTCGAGGAACTTCTAAGTTCCACCACTAGATGTCGCACAGTCGCGGCCACTCACGCTGTAACGCCTCGTAGGGACTGTAAAAGGAAAGTTGATTTCCCGTTGTCATAAAAGTGAGAAATGTAGGCCTACTGTACTGTATTTCCTTTAGTGTAAACAACATGTGAAAGAATTTTTTCCTCACGTTAATTTATTAACAATTTTAAATATCATCGTTTTCTCCATTTACATGAGAAAACGACGATATAATTTCTATCGAAAATCGAAGGAAGTGTCTAGAGTCTCCGTTATAGGAGAGATTCTTGATCAAAACGACTCAAGATCTAGGTCGAAGTATTTAACTCCTTATTTAATTAAATTAATTGGATAAATTACGTCCCGATTCTCACACAAGGTTAGTAAGTTATTACTTTCTTTTAAGTTTGAGGGCACTCTGACACACGATCTAGCATGTGACATGTCTAGGGAATTCGATCCCGGTCCCTATTTCTAATCCCGGGATTTCGGGATTATACTTAGTCAATCCCGGGATCCCGGGATTATTTCGGTATTGAGGGTTAATAAAAAATAAGAAAATCTTACAGAAATTAACAAATCAAAATTTAGACAAAAATCAACATATTTTACAGTATACACCTAGCTAATTTAATCACTCTAAATAATCAGACTCAGAGTCAGACTAACCGGACTTAAAATCACTCAGTTTTCATGTTAAATTTATTCTTTTTTAAGCATCACTGACATCTCTTTAAACTCACATAAATTGAAAAAACCTTTATGTAACAAACTATGCAAATAAACGTTGAAAATTAACAAAAATCTCTCTTAACATCGACTAAATAGACTACTTTCATATAGCAACCTAGTAAGTAGGTAGTAAAGTAAGTTTCTTAGCAAAAAGTATTTAAAAATAATATTAATCAGTCACATTTTTCTTAAATATAAAGAAAACTAATCTAATAGGAACATTCTAATTTGAATTGCGAAAATATGATCTGAGAAATAACAACGCATCCTGTGTCTCATCACCAAGTCTGCTTCTCAATTTGTTGCACATATATGCAGCTGCTGAGAAAACGCGTTTAGGTTTGATGGAAGTTGGAGGAATCGTTAGTAAATACTTATAAGCCCGTTCTAGTTATAGCTTCGAGGACACGGGGAGGTTGGAAGAAAACAGTCCGGTCGACACAGATCGGGATTGTAGGAGTAAAGGCTACAATCCCGATTGTTTCGATCATTGTAAGCATGCCTTTCTAAAAATAAACACGTTAATTTTGTAAATTCGGTCTCTGTGTGAGTCTCTCAGCATCCAGCAAACCACTACTCCCAAACGTAAAAAGACTTTCTCGCATCATCCTGACAGATCACGGGCAAGGCGGGGGTCGTAACCTTTTCACCTAAGGTCGACCCCCCTAAGCGAGAGGCGTCGGGTCTATATTAACCACACTGGCAAAACAAGATGGCTGACACATTGACAGGTAAAACGCACTGAGTAGTGCTCTCGACTGCGCCAGAAAATCGATTGGCGCCCGCGAAAATTCAAAAATACAAAAATGAAGTATATTACCAAGTAACCCAGTGAGAACTGCTTGCCTATCATTTTAGTTGAAAATACAAGAAGTTTTATTCCAAGCAAGCATCGCAAGCCCGCTAGGTTAATTTCTGCTGCTTGCTTGGAATAAAATTTCTTGTATTTTATATTAAAATGATAGGCAAGCAATTCTGTTAAAAGCACTGGCACTGAACGTTTCGCTTCATGCAGTCTATTTTGCAACTTTTTTAAAATGATGTCAATCCCGAAAATCTCGGGATTAGGAAAACTTAATCCCGAAAATTTCGAGACTGAAAAGTGGTCGGGATCCCGGGATCCCGATTTTCGAGATCCCGGGATCAAATCCTCTAGACATGTCACTTCTATGTACTGTACTGTACGTTATTATATATTCTACTTGAAGTGATGCAAATCTTGCCACGTCAGTGTCAAACGATTGTAGTACGCTCAACTTTTCATAGATGTTACTAACAACTTAATTTAAATAAGTTCAAATAAATTATTTTAATTTTTATTTTTCTTCACAGATAAATAACAAACTTCGTTCAGTGTAAACAGGAAAGACAATCCGGATTGAAATACACAGTTTATTGAATTAACAGAAAGACATTTTCTTGCCAAATAGTACGCAAGAATCCAAAAGCGTCGTTTACATTCATCAGAACTAGTATAAATAATAATAATCATTAACTTCAATAAGCGAAAAGCATCTTCGTAATAGCAAGCCACGATTATTACTAAATGAGCTTCTGCCAGATTATTCCATTTTCCTTTGAATCACACGTAAACGCGTCACTTGTACAGTACGTCATTGCCAACTTACTGCCACTGTTACGTCACTTCTCGTGCGCTTCGCTTAACAAGTGAATTTCATGTTTGCTTCATATCCAAAACACACGCCTTTGTCTTTCTTCTACGTTAATTTGCCGACCTGTAACGAGTGTAAACAATTATACACAAGGACTAATTATTCTAACTTTTTTAAACTTGTGTTACGATTAAGCAATAGCATTTGTTATAAAATAGAAATTACAAGTAATAATGACAAAATAATTTATATACTGTACCAGAAATATTACGTTAAAGACATTTTGTGATATACACTAAGTTATTCTTAAATAAAATATGATAATCTGTAGTTACTAAACACTTAGTAGTAGAGAGGTTGCGGCCGACGTTTTCAACGCGAAAACGTGTACGTCGGACGTTCAGCGCGGCATTCCTGTAAGCCTAGACGTTTGACAATGGCGTTTGGAACGTCGAGCATGATTACACTGACGTTCCAAACGCCATTGTCAAACGTCTAGGCTTACAGGAATGCCGCGCTGAACGTCCGACGTACACGTTTTCGTTGAAAACGTCGGCCGCAACCTTTCTAGTATTTAGTAATATTGTACTTAGTACCGTAGTTTAATTATTTTTACTTTACTAAACGTTATATCACTCGTTATTTCTAATAGGCAAATCTACTAGTTGTATATTACTTATAAACAGTATAAGAATAAGTGTGCAATTTAAGATAAAGATTTGTACATTTTTCCAAACGAAAATTTCGAGTGCAAATTTTGTTCGTTATTTATTACTATTTCGACAGATTAAAATCTGTACCAAATTAATATCACAATTTAACAAGCTTACCTCTCGAATTCGCAATTTCTTTGTAAAAATTTTAAAATTTATACACAATTTTTAGATTGTTTTCTTTCAAACATAAAACTGTAACCGTAAGAACTCATTATTATCACTATTCTTAACGTAGCTGAAGAGACAAAATCTTTCAACACAGTGGCGTAGCGTAGTGGGGGCGGCAGGGACGGCACATTATTCTTCGCATTGCAAAATGACATACATACGTCAGGAACTTCAGTTCGAACAAACTTCACCTGCCGTTCAGGTCAGTGATTTTAAAAAAATGGCATCCCTGGCACGGATTTTTTCATGACTTATTCTGCGACGAAACTGAATTTTAGTTTTTTAAATTGAGATACATAAATAAGGGGACGGCGAAATTTTCCTCCGCCCCGGGCGGCTGACACCCACGCTACGCCACTGTCTCAACACTTGTAATTTGTCGAGGAGAGTTCTTAGCTAATTGACTAGATGGCCACTAGGAGTTTTTTGACTTTCCTCACGTGTTTAATATATAAATACAAGTAAGTTTCGCACAGAATGTTCTCCCGCTCTTGCCACTTTAATTCATTTCAGTAATCTTTAATACTGAATCTTTCAGTTTAACAATTAACGTAAATACAAACGTTCTAATTTTTTTTTTCCATTTCGTATTAATATAAACTTTGAATACTTTCCAATTAAATATGAACCTTATCGTTTCACAATTATTACGAAAATATAAATTTGGTTGTTTCAAATATTTAATGATAAAAATGAAACGTTATTTTATTTTCATATTAATAACATAAAGTCACATTAAGCACTTAGAATACGTAAATTTAACAACTAATGTAAATACATTCGTTGTTAAATTTACAGTTGCAGCATCCTTTTGCTAAAGTTATTCGATTATAATTGATTTATACATACATTATTAAATTAAAAACATAGTTTTTGACAATATATAATAAAAAATTATATATTTTTACACACTAATAAAAGAATACGCAGATTTATTAATATCATTTTCCTGACAAAAGGAAATTTCATTACAGTGTGATTCTATTCCACAGGTATCCATTGGAGAAGACTGAAGGAGAGCCCATACCACCTCTGATAAACTTAGGAGGAGTGTTTATAGATAAAAATAATTTAGTGAGAGACTTCAAAGCAGTAAGACTCATATATCAACTGGATTCTGGTACAGAAGAGAAGAATCAAATTTCGTCCAGATGGGAAAATGAAGTTTTAGCCAAGTTATCGAATTTGAAATTTAAATATATCAAATTTTCTTATGTTGTCGGAGACACATTTGACAACGAAGTAAACACAATCAGTCAGAAGTTTTGGTATCTGACCTTAATACTCGGTGCTCTTATGGTATGTTTTTCGGCACTGTCTTCGTGTTCTAGAGGTGTCGCTAGCAAACCTTTACTGGGTATCGCAGCTTGTCTTTCGGCATTTATATCTACAGCTTCTGCCTTTGGATTATTATTGTATTGTGGAATGGAGTACTTCGATATAAATATGGCTATTCCGTTTCTTATGTTAGGTAAGTATACGTATTTTGAATAAGTACAGTGAAGTTTAATAGCGTATATGATATTATACTAAATTTGTATCGATAACAGGGCCTTCAATCAGTAGAAAAAGTAAAATGTTATTTATAAATTATTATTTTTCTAAACTGAGTTACTTATTACTCATTGCTATGCGATCCTGTAAGGCTAAACTGCGTCAGACTACAGTTAAATATTAAATAAATTCAACCTGTAGAAAAAAGTTTTCGAACAACAAAAACGTTGCGAAAATTATTGATCTGAGGAATTTTTTTATTTGTTAAGAAAGAATCCCAGAGTTATTAAAATTCTGAAGTTTATTTCTAATGCCAAGAGCCTTTGTTATTCAAAATATCACACTGGGAAAACAATTATTAGTATAACGAAATAAAATCCCGACAACTTAGTCTGGGAAAATTTTCGCGCAAATTTCTATCTCTAGAAACAGTTTTCCAACGTAGTAAAAAAGAATGAAATAGAAATTCTTGTATATTTACTTGGGTCACTTTAGCGTTTATAACAGCTTCAATGCGTAATGGCCCTATTTTCTCAAGTTTATGTTATCGTTACTTTCCTTTCAACTCTGTAACGAAGCAATTTTCAAATCTTCCTTTGTTGTATGTCGTTTTTCATTCATTAAAATTTCCAGTTTAATAACAGATTTATATGTTATTGAAATCTGTTCGGTGGCCAAGGTATAGATTTGACGTTAATTTTTTCAAATATTTTTTTTACGTTTTTCGTACGATGAAAACTTGCATTATCATCCTGGAAAAAACTTCCTCATTCTCAAATTGATTTTCAACCATAGGAATCACTAAGAGAGAAGCCCGTATTATATTATTTCATTTTATATAATTACATACGTTATTTTTCGTATGAGTTTATCCCACCAAATTATCAATGTAATACGTTATAAAAATTCTTGAAATTGTGTACAGTAAAAAAAGAAAATTTTGAAAATGTCTTAAATTAGTTACTCGGTATAATAAATTTTTACGTAATGTTTGTAGTTGTATAAATGAATAAATACTATGATAAATATTAAGGTCAGATATCAATGAAAGTAGAGATCAGACATGGAAATCGTTATACTACGTTCGCACACAATCCACGACTTACTTTGATCTCGATTTATCTACAATCTGGATTGTGACTGTCGCTAGTCGAACGTCGTGCTGTTCGCACAGGCAGTCCGCTCGAGAAGAACCTGGCTATTACACGCGATGATAAAACTGACATAACTACGCGACAAGTCACAAACACCAACAAAAAAAATGGAAATTTTGGTTAAAAATAAATACTTTTTCTTGCCATACATTTAATAATAGACAGTTGTCGTCGTCTCTCCAGATGTCTTTTTTATTTCTCTGTCGCTAGCCCGACACGTGTTCCGCAGCCATCCTGTATTTTCTCGCGCGCGTGGGATTGTGGGATCTCTCTTATGACTGGATCTAGTTTCGAGAACTCTCTCCAGTCGATCGCGATTAAACCTCGTTTCAGTCGAGATTGAAACGGTCGAGAGCGTTCGCACCACGGAACAGTCTCCGACCATACAAGTTAGTCAAAATATAGATCGAAATGCTCGGTACGAACGGGGTATTAGAGAAGGAGGACCAGATTAACACAAAAATATGCTTTTCGCAATTATTAATGGGCCACTTTTTGGTAATGCCTTGTTCATTCCATTCGTTTTTTCACGTGTTGTTTTGCAGTCAATGGTTTTGTTTTAGCTTTGCAAATCGATTTAGTAGGCAAATGCATCATAAGGCACAAACTTGATTTTTTCCTGTTGTTTTCGGTCTGTCAGTTTTTTTAATGTTTATACACTTCCAGATATCTGATATTTCTTTGTTTAATTTATTGTTGAAACGGCAAAATCAAGCTTTTGAGTAACTTTCTGTTTTCTCTTTTGGAATCAAAGTCGCATCCTCACTATTTTTAGCTGGACCCGTTTTAAATCGATGAAAAGAAACGATAATGGAAATTACATGCACACAATATTTTCAGTCGACTAATTCGCATAAACCAACGATTATAGACAAAACTAACTGTTCGAAAAACATTTTACACACTGATTTGGATAAGTTTCTTTTTTAAATTCCTAATCATTTCTTTTAACTGCAATATTCTGCTAAGAATCCAGACTGAAAGAAGCTCGTAGAAGGAAATAATTTCGAACTTAAAGTAAACACGAACGACCTGTTGCTAATATCGGTATATTTTGAACGATCTTTTTCAGCGTACGAATATATCCTTTTACACGAGCCTAGAAAATGTACACTTGAAAATAGTTTTTACTGTATGAGTTAATACGTTGCCTTCCACAAATGATTAATTACATTTTATTTTCGATTGAATCACAGGTTTACATTCGTGTTGTAATATATTCGAAAAATTATTTTCTTTCNTTTACTGTATGAGTTAATACGTTGCCTTCCACAAATGATTAATTACATTTTATTTTCGATTGAATCACAGGTTTACATTCGTGTTGTAATATATTCGAAAAATTATTTTCTTTCAATACCGGCTTATAAGAAGTTAATTTTAACATTTTTTAATTTTTTAAAGAGTTTCTAAGATTTAAACGATACTTTTTTAATAAACCAGAAAAAAAAAAACATTTTTTAACAAGCTATACAGTAGACCCCCTATAGCACTGTAGATAATTCCGTGTTATATAAATTTCATGTTGTACGAGTCACTTAGATTTTACAAATACGTGTGCCGGGCTATGAACGTCTCACGTATTTGTAAAATCTAAGTGACTCGTAATAAAACGGAATGATCTACAGTGTTATAGGGTCTATTGTATTACCTCCAGGTGCATTTCGCCTTGATCAAAACAAGGCCTTATAGTACATCATCTAAATTGAAATTGTCTTAACAATTTTCAAAGATTAATCTATCTCATATTATAAGAGAAATTCTTCAAGATTTATGTTTAAAGACATATTTTCCTACTGCTGCTCCGGAGATAGGAAGGTATCTTTATTACAATGTCATCTAATATTTGATACAATTTACGAAAAAAAGACTTCCATTCCCATAGCATCAAATTCTATTATGCTGATAACCAAAATCGTTCGATAGAACAAAATTCGAGCAGAGTTCTGCTTGTTTTTATATAAATGAAAGTTGATTAAGCTTATTTTTGCATATTCAACTCTATCACTTAAATACTTTTAAACTGCGGATTTATATTTATTAGTGTTTAGAAATGATATTAAACTCGTTTGTTATAAACGTAAAACTGTAACGACACTAAACAGACTATTTCTACAGGTATCGGCATCGACGACTCTTTTGTACTTTTATCTGCTTGGAGACGTACAGACAGCAACGACGAAGTGAAGAAAAGAATGAGCGATTCTTACTCCGAGGCTGCAGTTTCTGTTTCTGTCACTTCTATAACCAATATTCTTGCCTTTTGTACATGCCTTATCACTCCTTATAGAGTTGTACGGATATTTGGTACATATTGTGCAGTGTCGTTAGTCTTCGATTACATCTATCAAATATTTTTCTTCGGTGGGATTATGGCTCTGGAAGGTTACAGAGAAAAACGAAATCTTCATCCGTTATTTCTATTTCCACTTAAACCAATTATTTCAGGTAAGAAAATGCGGAAAATTTAACGAAAATACTAAATTGCTTTGTTTTCATATGTTTTTCAAAGACATTTTTTCGTTTTTCAGATGAAAACGAAAGAAATTCCCAAGAATTATACATCATGGTATTCTTGCGAGATGTTGCAGGGAAATATTTACAAAAACTCTACATTAAGATATTATTAGCTGTAATATATACTTGCTATTTAGCGGGGGGAATTTATTGCTTGAAATACATTAAACATGGACTAGATTACAAGAAAGTATTTCCGTACACCTCATACGCTGTTCCTTTCATACTTGATCATTATGAATATTTCACACTTCACCCGCACAGAATACAAATTGTTATTAACCAGACTTTAGATTATTCCGATGTACAAACTCAAAAAGATGTCGAAAGCCTTGTAAATACTTTCGAAACTGCTCCGTTTATCAGTGGCTATCTTACAACAGAATGCTGGCTGAGAGAATATCTATCTTTTAGCGAAAGTGCACTTTCTAAATTGGTCTTCAAAGGATATAACTTGAACAATTCCTATGAGTTTTTGGATGGATTGAAAAATGTATTTTTAAATGTTAAAAGTTTCCGCAGATTTCGTAACGACGTCGTTTTTAACACTGAAGGGGATCGAATTTTAGCGTCCAGATGTTATATTCTTAGTTATAATATAAAAAACTCCAGTGCAGAAACGACAATGATGGAAACAGTTCGTAAAATAGCGGATAATAGTAAATTTAAAGTATTCGTACATCATCCATGGTTCGTTTATTATGACCAATACTTAAATGTGACAACAACTTGCATTCAGACTGTATGCCTTTCCGCATTACTAGTATCCTTGGTACTTTTCTTATTTATACCAAATTTCACATGTACTATATGTGTCATGCTAACTGTAGTCTCCATAGAGGTGTGTATAGTTGGATACATGTCTCTTTGGGACGTTAATGTTGACACTATTTCCATGATAATTCTAGTTATGAGTGCGGGATTTTGTGTAGATTATTCCGCTCACATCACGTACGCTTACATAAGTAGCGAAGAAAGCGATCCTGCGGGTAAGATGAGATACTCATTATACGCTGCGGGTTATCCAATAATTCAAGGATGTGCTTCGACAATTCTAGGGGTATCGGTTCTGTATTTCGGTAGTAGTTACTTGTTGTTTATATTTTTCAAAATTTTGCTTCTAACAATGACATTTTCTGCATTTCACGGCTTAATTTTGTTGCCAGTAATTCTTAGCACTGGAGATTCTATAGCGCTTTCTTGGAAAAATAAAAGGAATAGAAAAAACTTCCGTATAATAAAGCATAAAGACAATGATTTGACAAATAATAATGATCAAAGGGACGTTGAATTATGTTTTATTGAAAAATAATGAATACTTATTCTGTCACATTTATAGTTTTGTTAGATAGTAGGATAATTGCTCTGATTTCAATCATCTTCGTGAACTTTTTATGAAGTTATATTCAGGATACAGGAAATTGTTTTATTAACATGTTTTCATGTATGACGTTAATAGTTTTACATTGTCGTTTTTGTAAATTTGTTGCCATGCTTATATGAGGTCAGCATTCCCAACTTTAATATGTTTTTTCAGATCTCTTTATCCAGAGTGTTGTCTTTGGTCCATTCCCTCTGTCGCAAAAAATTTCTGACACTTTCTCTTTCCATATCAATTTCGGTCTTTCTCTTTTTCTATTTTGTATCACTTTCCTGCTTTTTAATCCTCTTTCCAACGCAGTCCTTACTTCTCTCTACGTGTCGAACCCATCTTAGTCTATTTAATAAATATAAAATGCAAAATACAGAGCATTCACAAAGAAAAACCTTTTTCTTTGCTTTTTTTCCTTTCCGTCGTTGCACACTATCAGTAGTACACTAAAATTACAAAAAAGTATGGAGACGATCTTCCTTTGTAGGCTGCATCTTCTGCAATAAAACATGAAAAAATGGTAAAACGTTCTCTGGTGTTTCGCCACAGTCATAATAAACACATAATAAGCACATCTTAATCTACTTTCCATTAGGTCCCATATTGACTGTTCTCTCCGTCTGTTGTAATCGTTCCTTATTCTGATTCGTCATATCACTAATTCCTATTTCTATTGTTTCCATCTTCTTGGTTTCCTATAACTGTCCATATCTCGGCACTGTACATCATTGCAGGTCATACCACGGTTTGTAAAACTTTCTATTATTTTGCAGTTTATATTCTTTTCACACAGCATGCCATTTATCTTTGTCCATTCTAACCGTCTTTATTGACTTTGATGCGGCATATTCGCCCTCATTCCATCGCAACTTGCTATATATAATGCAATATACTTAAATTTAAAAATCTATAATTAACTTCTCATCCTTGAGTTGGTTCTAAATCTTCACCATTAGTCATGTATACTGACTCTGTTCTGTTTGTCTTCAGGTTTTTCTCTCCCAGCACTTTTCTCCATTTTTCCAGCGTCTTTTCGCACGGTGCAATGTCGTCCGCGAATAGCATGCTCAATGGTGTCTTGCTCTTCACATCTTCCATCAATTCATCTATCACCAAATCAAACATCAACGAGCTGAGGGATGAATTATGTTATAGTTCATCTCATAGTAAATCCTTCCGCCATACTTACACTACTCTTTACGAGATTCATTTTTGCTTCATACATTTCCTTTGCAAATGTTACACTATTCTTTGGTATTTTTTGTACTCATACATCTTTATATTTCCTGTCTAAGCACCCTGCTGTACGCTTTGTGCTGGTCTATGAATATTATATGTAATCCTGCCTGAGTAAAGTTCAAATTGTGCTTTTTGATTTCCGTTCTATGTGTTTGTTAAAAAGAGTACCTTATGACTTTTTGAACTTAGTTTAAGTGCTTTTATTTGACGACTATGTGCAATATAATATACAGCAATATTTGTTGCTTGCTTTAACATACTTGCCTCGACTTGTTCGGATTGACTCGCCAACGATGTTATCTGGAAAACGTGCTTCGACGAGTGAAAATTTGAATTAACTTGTTACTACTTATTAAGCCTGTTTGACAGCCTGCATTTCTTTGTACCTTTCCATCAGCTGCTTTAGAGCAAAAATAGTTTGTTACTTGTTCCTCTTCTCGCTATGAAACCAAACTGTTCCTCACCTATAGCTATTTCTTGCCAAACCTTCCACATTTCTATTCCAGATCTTCATTTCTTGCAACATCAACTTAATTTTTCTGCAATTACCGCATTCTTGCACGTCTCTCTATCGTTTACAAATTTGTATCAAAACATTTTCTTTTCACTTATTTTGCATACACTCTGGCTGCCCTAGCTTTTACGTAAATCCCATGCAATATACCATGTCAGCGCTCAAACCTCCGCCCAAATATTTTCATACCTGAGCAGGGATGTGATCAGACTCTGTTGGTTTTCCATCCAATTACTTTTTCAAGCGTCATTTCAGCTTTTTGCTTATATATGCTGTTATTCCTTCGTTCGCATTGCCGTACTTCTGAAATTTCCTGATTTAGTAGCTACCTAAAATAACAGTAAAACCTTTCCTTTATCTTCCTTTGGTCTTGTAACATTTTACCTTTCTAATCTTTTATTGATGTAAAATTTTTATGCCTTGTTTTTTGGTCTCGCAATTCTTATTAGCAGTTTATCCCCATTTTTTTTTCTAGTTACTCACAGACCTTATCTACCGCTTTTGCCATTGGCACATTTATTTGCTGTTTTGCTTGCCGACTTAGGCTTTTTCTTATTATGTGTGATTTTCGATACTGTTTCTTTTTTATTGCAACTCGGAATAATATAGCAGTTAATATTCAATAAAACTTTTGCTGAATTATAATTTTTGTTTTATTGATATACTGAAGCATGAACCGGTAGTTGTAATTAAGTTTCTTCTATTTAACGCTGTCCAGACAGAGAATTAACAGTCCAAATGTAAACAAATCTGGAATAGTGACACGCAGAAGATATATAACCTTAAATAAATAAACAAAAATTCGCCACTGTAGCACGATTCGCGATGGATGCCACGAACGGTTGATCGATTGATAAAAAAACTTTATCTATGACATACTATAGATTTTCAAACTTGATAGAATAACACGTCTAATATCAAAAGCATCACAAAGGATAATCTTCCGCCTGCGATTGAACACTGTTCATCGGAGAATAACAACTACACTGAGCATTATTTCCTGCGTCGTTAAAGTCCCTGATAGAACTGGAGTCTTGAACAATTACAATTTTTGTTTGCTCAAAAGTCTATGTCAAATTAGTTTATTTGATTTAATCTCTAGACAATGTTGAATAAGAGTTGTGTAATTATGATTGGTAACAGATTTTATTAAAAACTTTTAATTTATATTTTTCTTTTCGTATTTTCTGTTGTATACTTTAATAACAGTTGAGTGAGTTGAAGTAAATTTTTATGTAAATATAGAATTATAAATTCTTCCCTACATTTTTAAACAAAGTTTTATAATCTATTATAATAAATAGACATTTTCATAGACTTTAGATATTTGTATTTCCTACGATGTATTTTCTGTTTCTTGGGATACCTAGAAAATGTTTTCAGTTTTATTTAAACTTTGCAGCCTGTTAAAAATATATTTATTATATCTGAAAATAAGGAAACCAATTATACTTTATACGCAGTTATCAAAGTAAATTTATTACGAGAGTATAAATTATGTTTTATTTTATCAATCGATACCAATGTGGAAAACTGACTGTATGGATAATACATTTATATTAAAATATTTTTTTGTTATTTATGTTAAGTATATAGTGATATTGATTTTCATACGTAAAATTATTATACTCATGATAAATGTGACTTTCCGAGTTTTGTTTTGTTTCTAATCTCGACGTTTGATTCTTGTGAAAACCAAACACTTCAAAATTCGGAAAAATATTAACGCGTGTTTGTGTGCGTTGATATCTATATCGCTTAATATTTCAGGATGGAGTAAAGAGTAACAAACGAAATATAGCATGGTCTCTTGTATATAATGGGCGTGAATGCGATGAAATTTTCGGGTAAAAGCTGGCAGATAAACGGGATGATGTGTCGTATCTCGAGTGTGGCCAGACTTAACGAAAACTTTATTTGTTATTGACATTTATACTATTATTGTAATATGCTTTCCAAGCTTTTTAATATGTTCGTAATCTTCAACAGATACATTTGTTTAGTTTAATGTAGAACTCCTTTTCTGATGGTAATTGTTTTATGCAATTTTCTTCACAATCCACGGAATAGTACCTAAAATCGCCTTTTCTTGCCTTATAATTTTCCGAAAAAAATTTTTCTACAAAGTATTTTACTGTTTCTCCAAAGTCTTTCATTGTTGAATTACAAGACAATTTATCTAAACTACTTGCTATAAATCTGAATAAGTCTATGAATTTGAGTGTTATTCTACCGATGTGTTCTAAATGCAATACAGTATATTTTTCTTTGAAGACAAACGAAAGAATTTTCTTTTAGAAACACATAAAATAAAGTTAATTGGTACTCTCCCAGCACTTTTCTCCATTTTTCCAGCGTCTTTTCGCACGGTGCAATGTCGTCCGCGAATAGCATGCTCAAAGGTGTCTTGCTCTTCACATCTTCCATCAATTCATCTATCACCAAATCAAACATCAACGAGCTGAGGGATGAATTATGTTATAGTTCATCTCATAGTAAATCCTTCCGNAATTACAAGACAATTTATCTAAACTACTTGCTATAAATCTGAATAAGTCTATGAATTTGAGTGTTATTCTACCGATGTGTTCTAAATGCAATACAGTATATTTTTCTTTGAAGACAAACGAAAGAATTTTCTTTTAGAAACACATAAAATAAAGTTAATTGGTATAAAATATTAAAAGAAGGGAAATTTTCTAATAGCTTTGTGATAGAATATGCTAACAATGTTATTTGACAAAATATTTTACAATATCAACTCTTCTCGATATTAATTCTTAAATTTAAATATAAAGTTGGCTGATGTGCTACATCGCAGTAGGAAGAAAATGTAGTAAAAATGCATTAAATTCAAACTGTTAAGATCTCTTCCTTGACTTTCTTGTCTCTCGGATTATAAGCTAAAAGGATTCAATAGGAATTCCGACAATTTTCGATTATAGTAAGATGTAAAATTTAAGTAGTAAATAAAGATTTAAAAGAGTTAATATGTAAAAGTTTCATAAAAACTTCTATTGAAGGAAGATCGTTTTGAGATGTTTTTAAGAGATTACTTTTATATTATTAACAATTATGCAGTAAATAGGCATAAATTGCTTAATAAAACTGATAGAGTTGAGCTTTTAAAAGTAACGCAAATTCCAATAACGAGCAAAACTTTTATGAGGTTTGACTCCACTCGAAA